GGCGGGTGTTGCAGGACCAGGGAAGCAGAGAGAGTTGAGGGCGGGGCCGGGTCCAGAGTCAGTACTCCTGCGGCCCAAGGAAGGCACCAAGCCGGTCGGGGTGAACAGGGTCAGGAATCAGCACAGAGCCCAAGCTAGGAGTAGAGAACAGTGGGGGAGATGGAAGGGTGAGCGCGGATGGCGGAGTCAAGGCGTGGAGGGCTGCTTGGTAGACTTACCCCAAGAGAGGCCTGAGGGCGGGAGAGTGGGCCAGGAGAGTTAGCTAGTGATGCAGGTCCAGGAAGCAGGGAGAGATGAGGGCGGGGCCAGGTCCCGAGTAAGCAGTGCTCCTGGGGCCCAAGGAAGGCACCAAGCTGGCCTGGGTGAAAAGGATCAGGAAGCAGCACCAGTTCCCCACGTGTCTGGGGACCCAAGACCAGGAATGGCGCAGGGCCCAAACCAGGAGGAGAGAACAGCGGCAGAGTTGGAAGGGCGAATGAGGCCGGGGGCGTCAATGCGTGGAGGGCTCCACGATGGACCCACCCTGAGAGGCCTGAGGATAGGATAGAAGGTCCCAAGCATCTTTTTAACCCATGTGTAGATAGATCAGGTGGAATATTTTTCCCACTAACTTTTGTGCAAATTCTTTATGGTAATTTCTATACGTATAAACAGTCCCCTCCATTATAAAGTAGATTTTTGCTTCTTTTTCATTAAATAATTTGTTGTGGAATTGACATGGCCTAGTCATTTTAGTGTGTTAAGCCCTAGACATTAGGATTGAGGGAGGAGGTGCACAGCCATATGGAAACAGAGTCCTACAAGCTCCTGGGACCCTGTTCATATGATTCTATGACAATGGTGTCAGCATATAAAAGTCCCATGCAAACTCAGGCAGATAAAAACCAGCATAGAACTTGGGAAATGGACAGCAGACCTCAATCTTAGCTGAGGAAACATTGGCAGCCAATTCAGTCACTTGGTGAGACAGGAGAAGAGCTGGAACCAAAGCTCTGAGCTCCTTGTCTCTGAGCTGCCTTTCATCTCTCCTTTTGAAAGAAAGAGGTTGTGTATCTTTCAAAACCCTGGGTATTTCTTTGGAATATAGAGTGAGGAAATGGAGGGAAGAGGAAGGTATGAGTTAGTGACAGAAAATGTGTACCTGATGTCAAAGAACCTGCATTCCCATGGATAATTCCCCCCCCCACCATCTGAGGCTTTCCAGAACTAGGAGAACCCCTGATTACATACCACGTGCATCCTTGGCCAGCTATAGAAATCAGAGAAGCAAGAAAGGAAGTGTCAACTCAGGATAGAGGGGGAATTCAGAGGAAGATTGGAATTTGCTTACACCCTTACCATAAGCTGGGAATGAATTCTTCTGCATCTTTCCAGAAAACCAAAAGCCTCCACAGAAAGCTTGGTGCTCATATTACAAGGATCCAATTAGCAAGCACTGTAATTTTCTTTAATGTGGTCCTATTGAGGGTAGTGACAAAGAACTGACTGATGGTAAAGTTATTCCCAAGGTCTATATCAATGTTTTGTAGGATGAAAATTCCTGAGTCTTTTTCCATGATGTTCTTGAACAGCAGGGATCCATTGGTATAGAGTGTCACTCTCCTGCTGAATGCAGGCCCTGTGTAGCTTAAATTATTGATTGTGATGGCTTATCCTGGGTGTCAACTTGACTGGATCTGGGATTAACAGAAATGAAAGAGATCTTCTTGATTGGATCATCTAAAGCCAGAAGATACACCCTAAATGTGGGTGTTACCTTCTGATGGCAGCCTGTATAAAAGGCCACTGCAGAGGAGAACACCTGACTTCTTGCTGCTTGCCTTCTCTCTCGCTGGTGTGTTCATCTTGCTGCTGTAGATTGAAGACTAGCTGATCTTTTGGAATTTGACAGACCTTCAGCGCCGCTTTGGGACTACTGAGACATCTACCCTCATGGACTGAGCGACTATGGATTCTCAGCCTCTCCAGTGTGGTGCAGCCATTGTTGGACTACTCGGACTCTATCCTGTGAGCTAAGCTGATAAATTTCCATACATATATATTCATTCTACCAGTTCTGTTTCTTTGGAGAACCCTGAGTAATACATTGATTTTTTTTCATATCCTGCAATTTCATAACCGGTGACCATACCAAAGACTATACCATTGTTCACACGTTTGAACATACTTTCTCCCTCAAACCAGTGGAAGGCTACAGGATGCACTGGCAGATCATGGGCAAGTAGAAGAACATTCTTCCCTTCAGCAACATGGGGTGGCACCTCTTCAATAGTGAGTTTAGCTGTGATAGGAAGGTTCCAGAAGCTTAAAAGTAAGACTAGGTGGGGAGAAAGAGAAATCTGTCAATTTGGGACCTTTGTATTTTGCAGAAAAGTAAGACCTGAACAGATGTTCATCTCTCAGCTATGGTGTATAAGTGTGTAATACCCGGAGTGCCTCCATTTTGTATAAGTTTAACTGGTCAATCATCTGGTCATAGGACCGCCCCTAGGAAGACAGGTCACTCTAAATAGATGGGCTGAGTACCTAGTGCTTAATGAGATAGTATTTCCTGCCTGGAATCCCACCTACTAAGGCAGAAGTTCCTAGCTACAGCCATGTCCTCTGTGAGTTGCCTGCTTCCCTGAATTCTTCCGGGAAGTGTGCTTTCCCTTTTTCTTCTTCATGCCTTTCTTACTAAACATGCTTTCTTTAGGCTTTGGGCTGTCCCTAGCATCTAGTATTTCTTTACTTTTTCTCTAAAGCTTCCTTCTCCCAGCCTTGTGACTGCCAGTCAACCACATATCTGACCTCCCAGGCAGGCTCTATGGCTTTCTTTCCTTCTTCCTACCATTCACCTACTCAAGGCAGCTGCCAAGATTACCAAATTGCCTGCCCTGATGATTTCTTTTTCTTTAAAGTTCTAATAAAATTGTAAAAGGTTAATTCAGCTGATTTGGAACTTTTTGAGTCTGGGTAGTCTTTCCTAGTAGTCCCGAACTCCATAAGAAGTGTCTGTGTGAGCGTGTGTGTGTGTGTGTGTGTGTGTGTCTGTCTGTCTGTCTGTCTACTGTCTCCTTACAGTGGGTTAACAGCATGTCCTCCATTTCCTCAGTGCCCCTGAACATTTCCTTTCTTCTGTATCACACTCCCTCACTGCATGACTTTTCTGGGGGATGTCATAAGAGCTGATTCCCCAGATACCCTAAGCCAATCTTTTGCCTGAGCAACAATGAGAGCACTTCTGAAAACAGCACATCCTGGATCCAAAGCAGCATATTAAGAACAGCTGCCTTTGTACTTTCTTACCCTGATGTCTTCAAAGTACTCTCTGCTGCTTTGCTGTCCTGCCTGTCTCTGCTTGCATATTGCTAATAGTTTAGAGCTCTGGCAGCTTCCTACTCCTAGGAACAAAGCATTATCATCAGCAAAGGCAACTGCCTCTCAGCTACTTTGCTCCTAAAATGAGATTTATTATCTTAAATCTACATAAAAATTTATTTATTTATTATTATTACTATTATTATTATTTCATGTGTTTGAGTATTTTCCTTGCATGTATAGGGCAGAAGACGGTGTCAGATCTACTGGAAATGGCTTTAGGGAGGCCTGCTAGCTGCCTTGAGGGTGCTGTGAATTGAACGCGGGTTCTCTGCAAGAGCAGCCAGTGGTCTTAACTACTGAGCTATCTCTTCAGTTTTCAAACTTCACATTTGCTCATTTATGCCATACTTTCCTCAGATCTTAAAGAGAAAAGGTATAAACTTTCCACTTTTTCGTGTTGCACCTACATTTCATTTCATTGTGCCATGTGTGTCTCCAATTGTTTTCACGTGTTGTTTGTTTTATACGCGCAGCCCAAACTGTTCTTAACAAACTGTGGCCACTTTGGTTTCTTTCCTTTTCACAGAGAGGATTACTGGAGTTATAATCCTAACAAGCAGTAGCATTGAAAGTCTTGGTTGCTAGATCTTCTGCATAGTTATATATGCATGCACATGTCTACATGTGCTTATGCTTTTTTTGTATCATGGTCTCAAACTGGTTTGTAAGTATGCACTCATGTGGACTGGAGCTATTAAATTGGACCAGCTTCCTATTGGTTTGTAGTAAAACAGGCAAAATAAGTTTGGCCACATGTCGAGTATGCCAACAAAAGAGACAGAGAGGTGGCAAACAGTGAAACTAGCAGAGGAAGCTCATGGGTCTGAATCTCTATTAGAGAGGATTAACATGAATTTTTTAGTTTAAATAGAAAAACAGTTTTTTAAAGACAAGATATACATAATTATAAAGTTTAATAGCAGTGGTCAAGACATTATCTCTTTGATGTTTATCTCAATACTGGTTCTGTGACATATTCTCTATTAGTTGAGGGTATCAGTTAAATTTAAGAGTTTTTCCTCCTGTTCCAGAGTGGAATTGTTCCAACTGGATAACTGTCCTTCTCTGAGATGCTAACCTCTTCATTCCTAGGATTAAGAGGATGACTTATCTCTGTGCATTTAGGTGTGATTTGTGTGTATATGTATGTGAGTGTATATAGAGGTAGGAATTTTAAGGATTCTAAGGATATCTTTTGACCACTATTGCCTCTACAGAACAAATAAGAAAACAAGTTTTTCAAGGTTCATATCTTACCAAAGCCTATGTAAGATAGGGTGGGTCATTTTTAAAAACCTACTTTAAGGTTTACAAAGAAATCTTAAAGTTTACTGATAATCTTAATGTGCTTTGTCTCCCACAGGATGTTTAATGTGTTTTACCTGTATTTATTATGGGTAGATAATAAAGATATCATGTATATGTTTTCTGGTTTTTAAATACAACCTCCTGGATTTTCATTTAAAATTATCTCATTTAAAATATTATCTAAATTTTAGAAAAGTAATAACATTAATAATAACGAAGGAAAAGCAAAACTCACAGTTAAAAAGAGGAAACAAGCCAGGTGTGGTGGCATAAGCCTTTAGTCTCAGCACTCAGGAGGCAGAGGCAGATGGATCTTTGTGAGATTGAGGCCAGCCTGGTCTATACAGCGAGTGCCAGGCCAGCTGGGGCCAATGGGACACTCTGTCTCAAAAAGACTGAAAAAAGAAGACAAAAGGTTATAGATATAAAATTATTTTGATAGAAGAAAATCTGATTTTGTATGAGGAAGAATTTTTGTATTGTAAGATAAAAATTGTTCCAAAATGAGAATGGATGAGAATAATGTTAGAAAATTTAAGTATGTTATAGAAGAATTGGGAAAAAATTAAAACAAGTAAATATGGTTATAAGAAAGTTGTATTTATTACTTTATATTACTGTATATTATAATATAAAGATTGTTTAAAACTTTAATATCAAAGTTGTATGTGGTTTTCATGACTTTAACCCTTGTACTCAGGAAGCAGAGGCAGGTGGATCTCTATGACAAGAAAACAAAAACAAAAACAACAACAAAAAACAGCAACAAACAAACAAAACCTCAATTATAAGGTCAGGTTTTAGAGATGGCTCAGTTGTTAAGAGCATATGCTGTTCTTCTTAAAGACCTAAGTTCAGTTTTTTGTAACATGTTATGTGACTAACACCCACCTGCAATTCCAGCTCTAAGGGATTTGATTTATCTGGCCTCTGTAGGCTCCAGTACGCTTGTACACAGACACAAACATATGCATACATATACAGGTGATTAAAAATAAAATAATGTCTGGAAAGTGTAATCCCTTGAACTCTTAAAGAAATATACTGATGACTTTACTCTTTGGTTATACATTCCTTTTGGGTGTTTAAGACCATACAGTTGGCCCAAATGAATCAATTTATTTTTACACTTAAGGTTGATTGAGGATATGTTCCTCAGGGGTCACATGGGCTTGGGAGGAGCCCCTGGCTCCTTTCTTTTACCAGTTCCATCTATGTAAAGATAAGTCAAAAGTCCTGCTCCGCCATGTCTGGCTTTACTTGGAAGCATGGATGAAATGTTTCCTCTGAGTTGACTCTCTTCTTTGTAGACTGGACATTGGTTCAAGCCTATCTGGTGGGGTCTCCATGGCCTCCCTGAACAAGAGTGCAGGTGACTCAACACAGTTAGAGGACTTCAAATCTTGGTCTGCAATACTGTAATGCCCACCTGTAGCTAAGGGAAACAACCTGCTGTTGTTCTAAAATGATGGATAAATTTCGTTTTCTCCCCCAATCTAGAAGCCTTTGAGAGGGAACTGACACTGATTCTAACCAATCCAACAGCTATCAAAATACCCGAAAGCAAATGTTGAATCCATCACTCTAGAGTCCAGCCTTGGCAGACAAAAGAAAAATGAGGAGGAACCCAATAGAGGGATGCTTTTGCAAGCCCTTGTCAAGAAATTCCAGTGGACTCTCATATGAATATTTGAAAATTGCCCTGTTCTGACATTTTTTTTAGTTCCCTGTCTACAACTTGTAGTGCTAATTACTCTTGCTTTTACTTCTCCTTCACATCTCCTGTTCTCCAGTTGAGGACTTTCTTTTCCCTCTACAGTTAAGAATTATGCAATTTAGGAGTCTTTTTGACAGACGCACTGAAGGGGTACCTCAATTGCCTCACACTGCATCCCTGTTCAGCATGGAAGGAGCCAGAGCGATCTGCATCCTGATTCCCTATTGGCAATTTGGGTAACTTCTTCAGAGGATGATGTGATAAGAATAGGAGGTAGGAATTGGCTAGGCAGTTAGGGTAAAAAGACCCCAAAGAAAAGTAGCCAGTTCCTTGGCTAAAACTCACAATGTCTTTGGGCTTCTTAGCAATACACTCTGTTCCAAAGGCCAAAAATGTAGAAAATATTTAGGAGCTTTTATCTAATCCTTAAAAGATTTTAGGGTTACCTCTTCAGAGGGGAGAACGTTAAAGTAGCCAAAAGCCCCATAAAAAACACATAAAAGTAGAAAAATAAAGAAAATAAATATTTTAAAATGTATAGTTCAGAATTCAATACCTTGTGTCGATGCAAAAGCATAACTCTCACCTCAAAGGGGATAAGAGATAGTTATTCTGGAGCCAAATATGAGTGACCATGACCCAGGAACACAGATTCAGGTTACCCCAAATTCCATGTTCCAGCATGGTAACAGTTGCCTTACATTTTTATAGTAACAGAACAAAGAAAAGTCATAAATCAAGACACTTTCAAGTACGTTGGAGAATACATTCAGTAGGTAGGTCGCAGCAAAGCTAGGGCTTTTTTTACTACAGGTCTCAGATGCTATCTGATGACATTTTTAGCCTTTTGATTGGTGACACCGGGTGGTCGGCTAGGATAATACATTCTAAAATGTTTTTATCTGTTGGTCGCAGGATGTTAGATCAGAAACAGAGGTGGTTAAGGAGTGGCTGTTTAGGGGGCTCAAGATGGCTGGAGATAAATGGTAACTAGGCTCTGGTCCTGAAACATCCCAAACTTTCCACAGTCTCCAGAGTGATAACCAGTTAGTCAGCCTTGCAGGAAGTTCAGTCCAATGTGCAGGAGTTCTTTTTGGGAACTTTTCTTTCACATGAGATAAAATGAATGCCTGATTCCCTGTTACAATAAAGTTTTCAATACCATCTATTTTTTATAATGTTTACAAAAATGGCTTAGAAAAACAAGGACTTTTAAGTATGATAACTAAAATTTCGGAAATAGATTCAGAGTCCTCTTTGAAGTTTAAAGATTAAACCATGCCAGATGATTTCATCATCTGGGATAAAAAAGAAGGATGTCACATCAAAGACTCCATTCTGACTGGAGGAAAAAGACTGTCCAGTCACTTCAAATAATCTCCTGTGCTGCGAAACTCAATAAGATGAGCTTTTAGAATCACACTTCTCATGTGAAACATGTGTCAGCTTCCTTGGAGAAATTTTCTGTGTCAGAACACTGGATGAGACTCATCTTCAACCACATTGACAGTGGACTACTGCAAATAACTGAACATTTCTCTAATCTTTCATGTTTCTTAGACATTTTTGTTTCTGATATTTAATATTTCATTTGCTATATTCCAAACTGTTGAAATAATGCCAATCTTTTTAAAATAAGTTATAAATAAGGATATCATTACCTTTCATTAATCATGGCTTTTTTTATGATCTTTTTCATACCCACATCCCCTTCCTTACTTGAAACTATTTTCCATGTTTAAAAGATTCAAGAGTATTTATTTTTGTAATTTTTTTTCTCATTATACAATAGTATAATTAGTATATTAGCATATCACTAGTATAATATGCACTAACAGTCTAGTTTGTAAATTAACAAAAACTTACTTTGAGTTTTCTAAAAACAAAGCAAAATTTAAAAAAACCCAAAACAATGCACCCCTCCACCCCATTGTCAAGTATCCTAGTTAGCTTTCTGTTGCTGTGATAAAATCCACTGATGAAAATACATGAGGAGAAGAAAGGGTTTAATTGGTTTACATGTCTTTGTCACCATTTATCATTGAGGGAAGTCAGGAAAAGAACCTGGAGGCAAGAGCTGAAGCACAGACCTCAAGGAGTGCTGCTTATTGTCTGGCTTCTTGGCCTGTGGTCAGCCTGCTGATGTCTTATATAACTCAGGACCACCGGCTCAGGGTTGATATCAACCGTAGTGGGCTGGGACTCCCACATCACTCAACAACCAAGAAAAATTCCTCACAGACATGTCCAGAGGTCACTCCAAAAGAGAAAACTTCCCAACTGAGGTTCGTTCTCAAGTGTATCAAGTTGAGCACTGCAGCTATCCAGCACATCAAGGTGCTTATATTTTTAATAAACCCCAAATTTACAGCCAAAAAGAATAAACATTTGTCTGTTAGAAACTTTAACTTCCTTTACTCTTGCTAGAGATACTCAAACATTTAGGTTATGTCCTCTTATCCAAACAATAAAAAAGACACCAGTATCTAAAAACAACAATATTCTTGTTGTTTATATCTTTTATATCTTGAGTGCTAATGCTTCTTGATTAAATCAGATTT